TTATGTATTAAATATTCTTCACGTATTAATAAATCTTGTCCAAATACATATAAATAAACATTATGACAAGCTTTATTTGATCCAAAATGTAATTGATTACCATTAATATTCATTAAATCCATGGATGAAAATAAAAATAAATAATGTAAATTCATATGTATTAACCATTGTCGATCATTTCTATTCATTCCAATAGAATATGCAGGTATAGTTGTAGAAAAAAATGTTGATAATGATGTTAAACGTACATTTAATACATTTAAAAATGAATGTTCTTTTAATCGACATTTAATTGGTTGTGCTGTTAAATATTCTTCACGTTCTTCTTCAGCATGTAATATTGGATTTAAACAAAAATGTCCGTAGGCATTACGAATATTTGTTATTTGTATCCAATCATTTGATGATAATAATGAGAATGATGATGAATCATTTTGATGAGGTGATTTTTTTATATCACAAGGTGCATGTTGGTGATATTTTCCGTGTCGTTGTATACGGTTTGCTTTAACTAATTGTAATCGGGCAGCACGTTCTTCATCTGTACGTATTAAATCTTTTTGCATACCAACAGAAAAACATTTTGCTAAACGACATGATGAACATTGACGACGTGTTCGTTCAGTAACAGAACATTGACCACCAAAACGACATGGTGGTAATAACTAATTAAATAGAAAACCTTTTAGTTTTTTTTATCATATTACATTTATTTAACACTTACTGAACCAGTACGACCATTTCTTCGAAAAAATGCTTTACATGTTGAACAAGTTATAACACCGAAATTACGACCAGTATTCTTTTCAAAACCACATACACGACATGGATCACTGGAAAGAATTTGATTGACAGAATTTGAGTACATCTAATAATTAAAAATTTTACTGTAAGATATATTTAATAAACATAAAAACGCAATATCTGCAAAAATAATGGAAAGGTGAAAAAAACATTTTTTTTTCGCATGAGTGCTCGTAAGTATATTTATCAAAGCTAGCAGATAATGTATCAAATAAGATAGCATCATTATCAAAATTCGGCACTTCTAAATAATAATATTTTATATTTAGGAAAAAAGATCCTATAAAGAAAACTGTTGTATACTAACTATTAATTAAAAGCCGTCTGGGGCACCTTATGCATTTCATTTAATAAATGCGTCGTGTACTGAATAATACGCTAGTCAGCGTATATTTTTTTTTATCAACAAAAAAAATGATTCATTTCTATGACTGGTAAAGGTAGAAGAAAAAATTTTATGTAACCAATATTTACCTTTTTAGGTACAAGTTTCATGAATATTGAATTACTATTGGGATCTTCATGATTATCATATTGTGGATAAATATTATCATAATTATAAGAATTCATTGTATGTAACATACTTGTTAATCAAATGAATTTGACCTTCAATAAAATGTATTATATATGAAGACACTTTGTTCTATATTTTTGTTCTATCGTCTAGAATAGCAAAATGGATAAAAAAAATAGAAGAGAAAAAAACTTATTTTCTTTCTTTCGCATATCGACGCCTTTTTTTTCCTTTTTTATGTTGACATTTTTTTTCTCTCTTCCATGTCACTAGGTGCATATCAGTGAGCGACAAATATTATTTTATATACATACAGACATATGTATACACCAATTACTTAATAATAATTGTTTAAATAACAAATAAATAGTAAATAATAATTGAACGAAAAAAGAAAAAAAAATTTTTCTTCGAGAAAATAACGAAAGGGTTAAAAGAACGTCTCGATGTCCTTTCTTCGTTTCACTGATAAAATAAAAAACAATAAAACAATATATGTATTAAAGAAACTCATACCGACATGTTTCTCATAAATATTTTAAGTATAATCGCAAAAAAAGAGATATCTAATATGATTTATTTAAAAAAACTGTACTCAATGAACGCTGTATACAATATGTCTGGATATTCTACTCCTTATATACATACCTACAGTCATGTATTATGATTCTTTCATCGATGTAGAAATTATACGAATATGTAAGTAACAAAGAGCACGTGTCCTTTTCAAGGTGTATCCTCGTGTTGTTGCTTTTTATATATAAATGTGCACTTTTGTCTGACAATGTACTGGAGCACTTACGATTTTTTTTTCTTTTTCCTTCTTCTTTCGCTGACGACAACACGATCGAGTCTTTTGGTGCGTAGCGGCAAGAAAAAAAAAGAAAGACGTAAAATGATTCGAACGAAAAGAAGAAGAAAAATGAGGAAGAACGAGAGAACAAAATCTGCAAGCGCAATTGCGATGTTAACAGGTCGTTGTAGACTATGTCTATTATATTAGCAGAATAATATATATCTTTAGATATATATAGAAAGAATGTACGCGAAGGACCCGTTGCATTATAAGAATAAAAAAAAATAATCATAAAAGAAAATGGTGTACTTCTTTTATCTTTCAAATAAATACAAAACGCATTTTATAAAAAAAAAAGTAACTAGTCATTTTGATCATATCAAATATTCATGGTTCTTTTTAGTAATTTATAAAGAAATAATCTAGGTTACTTTTATAATAGTTCAATTTTATTGTCACGTGGCCGTGCCACGTTATTTAGAAGATTATATATTCTCCTTTTTTTCTTCTATTAACGAGGCTATTCTTCACATTCTAATTCATAAAAGAACACTTAGAGATTATCGTATAATTTTCGCCCTATTTTTCAAATAAATGTCATAAAGAACATTTAATAAATCTTACATTTTTTCTCTTATTATTCATCTATTTGATTCAAATTCATTATACTGTTTAACTCTTTTTTCAATGATATCATATTATCGTTTTTTCGAAAAACTCTATATATTTATAGCTTCAGTTATTTTAATACAACAGCCTGGTTTAGTATTATATTTCATAGACATCAAAATAAACCTTGAGAACTTTATATCTACACAGACAACGTCGATGTTATTATTGGCATAAGATAAAATATAATTTTTCATTGTAATGAAGATCTGTAAAGAATATGAAACTTTTGTAAATTTTGATATTTAAGTTAGTTTGAAAAATAAGTTAACATCGATATTGTTGTCATAAATGATACATAATAAGATACTTTTTTGTTTTAGGTTCAGATTATATTTCTATAAATATATAATTATATGAATAGTACTCTCTTATAATGAATAACGTGAAAAATCAATATCTTCATTATAGTTTTTAATAAATAGATCATTTAGAAGTCAAGAAGAATTTCAGTATATAACACAATTAGTTTGATTAAAGATTAAATTATTTTTCTACATAATTAATCTCGATTTATTAACTTTTGAAAAATATTTAGATTAGTTAAAATAACTCAAATCTTTTCTTATTTGAAATAAGCTGTTGTTAATCATGAAAGGTCAGACATACATCAAACTATTCACTCATAAAGTTCTTAATAATATAGATTGTACTGCTCTAGGGCACTTTATCATCAACTCTATTTATATCATTTTATGAAATATTATCTTAATCAAATATATAAATTGAAGCATCCCATATAATTCATATTGTGTTCAATAATTTCCAATTTTTTTGTTTAGTCACATCAGAAACATTTTGTGATTAAATATTTGTAAAATAATTATTCATATAATAACTAGCAATCTATAGATACTTAAAAGAACAAGTACTTAAGAAACTGTTTGCATAACAATAATTCTAAAAGATATATAATACAAAAAATAATAAACATACATGGTATATCAAACGACAGAATATATGTAAACAAGACGATAGTGAATAAAATCATATACATACACCATATGATTGATTAGATATTGTAAGTGCTGTCAGATCATAATAGAGAGAGACACGATAGTGAAAAATAAATCATATATATGTGTACTAAATGTTAAGAGTACTTTTATTAGAATAAGGTTATCCAGTGAAAATATATCAACATGTGCTACTAATAAAAGGATAAAATGCATAAATAAGTGTTTCACGATATTAAGTCAATTCTAAAACATCAATATGTTAAATGAGAATATTTTCGATTGAATTTTAATTATCGAATATTAAAAAGAAAAAAAAAATATTTTTTTTTTCTACATGGGTACATCGACTTTAGTATTATTATTCATTGTTATTTTTAGAATTGTAAGAACGAGCATTGAATGATATATAATAAAGATGAAAAGAATACATTTAAAGGCGACACTATTCTTTTCTAAGAGAATAATGGGAAATTTTAATAAAATGGTATATTATAAACGTTCTGTGCCTAAAAAATATTTTGGTTTGATTACTAAACTGTTCATAGAAAAATAAAATCATTGATTATTATCAAAATGTCTATCGGGATTTCTTGTTTACTATAGTTGAAAGAAAACCTTTTTTTTCTAATAGACAAACAAAAACTAAAAGCAATTTTGATTCATTACAAAAAATAAACCTTGACTATTCAATACATAAACACGATTTTTAATGGTATTTTTTCTTCTATTTTCACATACATGTTAAATCTTTTGTTTTAATACTGATATGTAACGAATAAAAACTGCATCAATCTAATAAAATCATACATGAAAAAAATATGCCGATATTATATAGAATGAATTATTCTATTTAAATACGACATGTCATTGATTATTTCTTCAATAATATTAAATAAACGTATTTAGACATATCATTGATGAATATGACCTTCTTCTCAAGATAAGACTAACTTTCATTTTCTTGATTAATATTGATTATATAACTTTTTTTACTTTATTCATTATCAACTTTACATACATATATGTAAATTTATCGTAATCACAAGACATCTCTGCTACATTACTTTACTCTCATCTTATGTTTATTTAACATATTCGTTTTTGCCACGTTTTATTTGTGTTTTAACATACTGATTGAAATATTTTCTTATTTCATTCGATAATTCTTCTTTCTTTTTCGTTTCTTTCTTGAAAGTATTTTTATTTGCTTTGTCTGTTTTGAAGTTCATTTTAATCTATACACAGTTATAAACGAAATATGAATGAAAAAAATAATTTTGAAAATGTTCAACGACTTAACAGTACTATTATGGCAAAATCTAGATGGACATCATCATTGATTGGTATGAGAAAAAGTGGAGAAGAATTACATGATCGTCGAACTAAATCTAATCGAAAAGCAAATCAATTTCTTCAAGAACTTCTTCAACAAAAAAGTGATGGTAGTCAAATCGATGATAATGGTGTTACGGATCGATATCATAAATTTCTTCGAAATAAATCAAATTTAAATAATGATAATTATGTATTAGATGAATTTGAAATACGATTACGTGCGTTAAATAATCAACGTCGAATTCAAACATCAAGAAATTTTCATTCGAGTAGTGATGTTTCGTTTACTATCGATTCTGAAATGGAGAATGAAAGTGAATATGATAATAATGATTTAATTCAAAATCGAAATACTTTAAATCAAGTAAGAAAATGAAAAATCATATAGAAATAATTCATTTTTTTAGTATGGTTTATCATCGAAATCAACAAGTAAATCAACATTAGATAATATAAATAGTAACGTATTTTCTAATTTATCATCTCCTAATAAAAATCAAATAAATACTGATGAGAATGAGTTGTCATCAGACGAAGCATCTTCAATGTCTACATTGAATAATTCAATGACACAAACTTCTCTTAAACCGATATCTCGACAAATTAATGAAAATGAAGATAATGAAAAAGTTTTAACGAAAGTATTACATAAAACAGAAGTTAAACAAGCTGATATGAATAAAGAATCGTCAAAAAGTTCTTTAAATCGTTCAGGAACAAAATTTATACCAAAACCAAAAATTCAACGAGCACATAGTAATGAAGATATTGAAAAATCTTCAAGAAAAATCTTACATAAACCAAATACTCAACAAAATGATGATAATCAACAAATAGAGGAACCACCACCAACTTCAACAACAACGAAATCGGTACCGAAACCAAATATTCGACAAAATGATGATAATCAACAAATGGAAGAACCATTACCAACTTCTACAATAACAAAATCGATACCGAAACCAAAAACTTACCAATCTAACGATAATGAAGATGTTGAAAAACCATCAAAATTTCCATTAAATCGTTCTATACCAAAACCTTTATATAAATCGAAAGTTCAATCAACTGATAGTAGTAATCATGTTAAAGAATCTTCTGTATCTTCATCAAATCATTCGACAATACAAACTATGCATAAACCAATAGCTCGACGAGCTGATGGGACTGAGGTAGTTGCTGTTTCTACAGAAAATTCATCAGAAAATGTTTCGTCAAATAATTTACTCTTTAATCAATGCTATTTTCCACGTTCTTTATTTTCTCAAGAATCTCGTAATACAAATGATATATCTAAAATAGACTTACCATTATTACAAGTTGAAAAATATGATAGTTCTCAATTATATCATTTACTTAGTGAAATAGAAAACGAATGCTCACCGATGAATTTCACAAAAATGCTTGATCAATTAAAACTATCATCCGTTCAAATACGTCAAACAGATGATAATAATACATCAGTAACTACTGATGAAGAAGAAGGTGATGATGACAATAAAGAAAATATTGATATTACTACAAATTTATTTGATCAATCATCATCCTCACAAGAATATTATACAACATTTACTATAAATATTGACGATCCAAGAAAAATTTCTCTTTATACAATGACAATAGGTACAGTGCAATTATGTTCAGAAGGTGTAGTTCCATATTCCGTTCTTAGTGGCCATCGACCATTATTACAACGTTCAAAAGAAACAAAATTTAAACAAGTTCGTTCCAAACGACGAAAACAAACACATCATGTAGCAGCCATTGAATCATTCGCAAATATAGAGAATCTTCAAAAAAATGATATTATTTTAAACGTAAGATTTATAATCATTCTAGACGTGATTAATATTAAAAATTAATAATTTAGATTAACGATCAATCTGTATGGAATTTACCTACTAAAATAGTTCGAAATTATCTACTAAGTGCCAGCAAACAATCAAATAATTGTTCATTAACAATAGCTCGACTTTGTAAACCATTGATTTAATTTTTATATGAATATTCATTTTCTAATTAGAATAAAAAAATATAATAAATAAAAATAATTATTTGCAAAGATTTTCAGGTTCAATTCAATGGAAAAACTTTAATAATTATTAGTCAGAATTGAAAGATACGTATTGATTTTTGTTATTTATTTTTTGTTAAGAAAAAAAACAAAGCAAAAAATAATTACATATAGGTTTTATCTTCCTTTCAGACGTTTTTCTGGATGACTCATTGTGTCAATTTGACCCACTACTCGTTCTCTCGTCATGTTTTTCGCAATGTATCAGAGGAAGAAAAAAACGTCTGGGAAAAAATAAGTATTTAAGATGAATCTAAATATAATATTCCATGTTTATATCTCAAATAAACATGGAAATTTTACAAATACTTCGTAATCATATTGTTAGTAATAAACCTTCTTTTATGTGCAATGATGAAATTTTTTCAACTATATTAAATAATATTGAAAAACAATTGATTACTGATCTTCAAGGTCAAAATAATGAATTACATTATGATCAATTTATAGCACGTTGTATTGATCTTGAAGGTATAGAATAAATTGAGAAATATTTAATCGTTATTTTTATTTTTTTTTTAGGTCTCGATGGTTGTGGTAAATCGACATTAGCAAATGAATTACAGAAACAATTAAATATACGTGGACAAAAATCACGTTTATTATCAACACCACCTAGTGAACTTCTACCATTTCGATCTTATTTTGATACACAACCAGAATCTATTCGTCGTGCTTTTTATAATCTAGGAAATTTAATTGTTTCATTTGAATTAAAAAATCAACAAGATACAATAATTATTCTAGATCGATATTGGCCATCGACAATTGCTTATCAACAAGCAAAAATAATTGATAATAATCAAATAAATATTTCATGGCCTAATTATTTAGTTCAACCTGCTGTAATTGTTTATATTTATGTAGATGAAGCTGAACGATGTCGACGTATCACACAACGATCTGTATTAATTCCTGTTACCGTAGAAGAAAAACAATTAGCTGAACAAGAAGCATTTCGTAATCGACTTGATTTTATATATCGAAATCATATACCGAGTTCTCATCTACATGTTATTGATGGAAATAGAGCAACAAATGTCATTGCAAATGATATTCTTAATTTATTATCCGAACAAAATTTGTAGTACTAAAAATTCTTTGATTTTTTTTGAAAAAATAATTCTAATAAAATAAACAAGATTAGTATTTAACAACTACATTTTGTAGAATTATGAAAAATGAATTAGATATATATATATTAGCATACAATTTCATCTTATAAGACATATTAATAGATTCATAGAATTCAATCGTTATAATATGTTTTGAGCTTTTTCTCAAATGCTCATAAAACAAATAAGTTAGCAAGATTAATTTATAAATAATATTTTTTAAGAACTTCTTTACTTAAAAATTTATTTTTTTCATTGTTTATTAAGATCTATATTGTATTGTATTTTATTTGTTCAGATGATGATTTAGTTTACTTTGTAACAATGGAACTTAAGACGAATTAACAATTAGAAAATTGAGTATATATTTCACTATGAATTATAAATACAGTATTATTTTCCTGGGAAAAAAAGGTCATTCACACAGTTTTGCTGGAGTGAATAAAATGTGATCTAATAACTTTTTTTTCAACTAAGGCGAAAGATATGTCGCAAAAGGATCTATGAAACAAATTCATATTCCATTTAAATGAGTATTTTGCACAGTAGATAATAACCTGAAAACTTGGCTTAAAAATATTTATGAGAATAAACGAACATCGAAATGAGAGCAGACTAAAGAGAAGAAATAGACGAACAGAAAAAGCAAAAATGAAAAAATAATGTGCACTATCACGTGTGTAGTGATTCAAAGAATTTATTTATTTGCTGAAATAAATCTAATATAAGCAAATAATCGATCTGATAGAAAGAGACATATAGTACTAAGCAAATTCGTAATTATCTACACACTTGTATTATTCTGCTGATTTTCTTGGTATCGATCAAGATAAATGTGGTGATATTTTTACAGCTTGTAATCAATTCATCTTCAATCCAAATAAGCCCTTATATGACTATTTTAAATACATTTTGGAAAGAAAAATTTAACGTGGAATAAATGTATCGTGAATTACTTCAATTTACTTGTAATGCGAATCCCGACTTATTTAAAATTGTATTTTCTCAAAATTAGGGTAGCATCTCGAATAACAGTATATGCAAATTATTTTATCTTTTATGATTTGCCATTTTAAGTTTAGGTATGAATATATCTAAATAACTAATCTATTTTTTTATTTATCGATTTCAGGTTATTTTGAATAAGCTTTCATCTTTCAACGCGTTCTCCAAACTACTCACACGAACGAATATGGACTAAACTTTTATGAGACATTATTGATATTTCTGATACAAGACTAATATTCAATTATCGTAGTGTTACCACTGTTATAGCGATAGTGAAACGGTGCTTTATAAATACTAAGCTGAAGCGTAAATATTAAAAAGATTATTGTGAAGCTTACATAAGATCAGATAATGCAGGTTGTTATCAATTGTGGCTCTACAACTGCACGCTTCAGAGAAAATTGCTTATATAAAAGACTTACACAACTAAGTAATCGCCCTCCGCGAACCTCAAGATGGAAAAGGTGCATGCGACCATTACGAGACCGTTTATTATATATGAGCTGTAATGGGAATCCAAACTATAATCTTCTTGCTGTCAATATCCAATACTGTCATTTAAAAATAAGAGACCCTTACGTTATTTTTATTTTACTTTGTAATAAAGAATATAAATATGAAAAAGAGGCGATGAAAATGGAAGGATCATTGTTTCAATCCAACTTAAGACTAACACTCTCTAAAACGATGGAACGCAAATATTTGTTCAAAGCTAGAATATTTTATCATAAATTTTGATCAAAAGTCTCGAATAATTGGTAAAAGTTTACATTACATCACTAATATGATATGTGAGTAGTAATATATGCGGCAACTGAGATCTTACCCTAACCTTCCTCTTTTTTACCGTTAGCAGAATATTATACATATGTCCCGAACTTAATGAAATAAGTATCAGTGATGTAGTAACACTTAGCTAATTTGCATTATTCATACCGACAACACATGCATATATAAAATGAGATAGATAATAACTAGCAGCCGAGTGTATTGATTATGTCAGCTGATTTTACATTGCATAATAAGGATACAAATGCATTCAAATGAGATGAAAACTTGCCATGTTATTTATGAACAATTTGCGATAAAGATCATGTTAAACAAGTGATTCATATTCTTCAAAGGGGTGGGTGTAGATATCTTATCCGTTTTATGTTCACACCCACTCACCCTTTTTGGTATTTCTTTGTTCAAACAAGTAATTTCACCATGATCAGAAATCTATGACACATAGTACAAAGAGAGAATTATTTAATACAAAGAAAAAACAAATAAGAACACATCACGTAATCAACATATATAAGGTAGCACAGCACATATTTCAGTCACTCTCATCAATGTCAAATAAAATTAAAGCTTCTTTTTATACTCTGCCGGTGGAATTTGTCTACCGAGTTCTAGACCATCTGGACAATTTTACAGTTGTATGTTCAATGCGGAATGTATATTCACGGTTCAACGCAATCATAGACAGTTATCACCGGTATCAAGTAATTTTTTTTCTATAATAATTGTTTAATTTTTATCGATTTCCATCTTATTGTTCATTCATATATAATATATCGTCTAATAGAATGAGTCTAATCAAATATATATGAGCAATTTAAATCATCAATGAATCATTATTAATCTCTTATGAAAGGAGCCTTTCAATACTAAATCTGTGAAATAGTAATGTGTAGATATAAATTACAATACCATAAATTTCTTTTTTCTTTTCTGTTCGTTCGTTTGTAAATATTGATTTTCGAAGTGCAATGTTTACAAAAACAAAGATCGAAAAGGAAGGAGAAAAAAGATTGTTTTGAAAATTTTCACAGACTAAACATGCGTAAACCAAGTTTGTTATTTTTGATCCTAATTTTAATCGTAATATTTCACAGTGCATAGTTTTGGCTATATTTACTCTTTATATTTATAATGATATATCTAGCTTCACGATAAATGAAGTTTTACAGAGCTTCAAATTCTATAGGTTTTGGCACATAAGCAAAGTACTTTTAGCACTATCAACCGAGAATAAACTGCACTGAAATTTCGTGCATATCTCTTGGGAATGTCGCAAGAAAACTAGTCAAACATTTTTTATCCTCTAATGACAAACGCTATTATCGCTACAGTAATTTTATTTACATCAGCAAACGAAATCAAGAGAAAAAAGCATCTTCATTTCTCTCATCTCCTTGTTTGTTCTTTCACACAGACACTCACCACACTTAATAGCTCATATAATTACATTTTAGATGCACAATATCTAGCTGATGCCGTACGAGTCACCACGGTAAGTGAAAAAGCGAGTTTGTTCGTCTCGTCTTTTTATTTGTTCATTCAAACAGACACTTACTACACTCTACCTAAAAAATAATCTAATTGGGATCGAAGGGGCACAATATTTGGCTGATGCCCTACGAATGAATACGGTGAGAGAAAGAGGCTCTTTATTTGTTTTATTTTATTGTTTGTTCTGTCATATAGGCATTCACCACACTCGACCTCGGAAATAATCAAATCGGAGATGCAGGTGCACAACATATAGCTGATGCTTTACGAATGAACACGGTGAGAGAAAGAGACTCTTCGCTTATCTCAATTTCGCCTTTGTTCATGCAAACAGACACTCACCACGCTAGAGTTACAATCGAACGAAATTGGAGAGGAAGGACGAGAGATTCTGAAGCAACTGGGGAGCAATAACACAACTTTAAAGATAACATTCTGATTCAGCTTTTTGGAAAACATTCAATTTTGTCTTTTTGAAATTATTGGTCGAAATAAAAGAATTGAAATGCTCGTAAG